ATGTTACCATCGACATATATTGGACTTTAAGAGCACTGATTAAGTTGATTCTTTATTGTGGTTTCACTATAGTATGTTCACTATATGAACGTGTGATTTTATATATTATTTACACTGAATGGATATGTACAGAGAGATATATATGTTTTCTACACGATTTAGGTCATTATAATTATTTTGAAGGTGTATCTAACCAGCATTAGTTGTTTCTAAATATCATCACCATCACGGCTGGAGTGTATTATTGTCTTCACATATAATTGTTTGGAATTTTTGCATGAAATCACTTGGTTATTAATTGATTTGGCATTTTTTCACTAATTGATACACTGTGTACATGTATGTATATATATATATATATATATATATATATACGTATATGTATATGCACTTGTTTATAATGTGAACACCTATGTGCATCGTCTGCTATTTTCTGGGTTTTATTTCCTTCCCTTCCATCGCTTCCTGGTCCGCCTCCTAGTTTGCTTGTCTATCTAAGACATGCTCAGTCTAGCCCACCTTGCCTGAGCAACTTCTTAGTTCTCTGAGCTCCTGTCTGTCACTACACTTGAATCCTGTATCGGACTACCTGTGCACAGACCCAGGCTTTGTCCACTGACTGTGCTGATCTCCACCAGTCCTGACCTCGGCTAGTCTATCGGCTTCCCTGTTGTCTCGTGGATTATACTCTGCTCACGCGATTGGTCTCCGCATCCTCAGCTGGGCGTACCAGGGGGCCGTGACCTGGTTCCAGCTTGCTGCAAGTCCATCCCCACCATCTGGGACTCTGGTGAAGAAGCAGGCTGAGGCTTAGACTCCGTGCCCTGGGAAACCCCGAGTTGGCGGTCTACAAGGCCTCACTACCACAGGTTCCTGACACCTTCGCCTACTTCCAAATCGAAGGGGATGAGCATTTTGATAGCTAGGTCTGTCCCTTGGTCTCTTGATGGTGCGGCAGTATGTCTTGGGTCGAAGCGAATTTTGGTCAAGGGCAAAATTGGTACTCACCTAATCACATTAGCAAATGTGTACTTTCCCAATGTGGACCATCTCCCTTTTTTGTGTAATATGGTGCTGGTTCTATTGGAGTTTACTGACGGAACGCTGATATTAGGTGGCGATTTGAATTTCAAAATGGACCCACCCTTTAATGTTTGAAGGTGCAAGTCTCACCTTTCTTTTGCTAGACTGAAGTGTCTTAAGGTAGAACTTAATTTTGCGTTTGGGCTCTTTTGTCCGTAGCCCCAGACTTGATGGCTTAACGAAGCCCTTCTTCAATCTCCGGATATTCGTCAGGCTGTGGAAACAGCCATAACAGACTACTTTTCTCTCAATTCGGGCTCGGTGGACAACCCTCTCTTACTCTGGGATGCACATAAACCTGTCATCCGGGGCTCCCTGATGGAGATTGGAGCACGTTTGAAATGGGAAAGGACCCAACACCTTACTAGCTTGCTTCCGTCAGCTTGAGAGTGTGCATAAGGCCAGCCTAGCACTTATAGGGATCTTGTAAAGACATATGAGGAACTGAACTCCCTCCTTTGCTATAAAGTTAAACAGAAATTGGCCTGGTGTCATCGCACGATGTAGGAGTTCTCTAACAAGCCAGGCACCCTCCTGGCCAGGGCACTCTGTGGCCCCCGTGCTCGTATATTCATATTGCACATTAGCTCTGCCTCTGGCTCCAAATTAAGTACTTTGGATGCCATGGCCTCGGAATTCCGCTCCTTTTACCATGGCCTATACAATTTACAACCAACATCTACTAGTGCAGCTGCACGGGACCTTTCCTTGGACATTCGGTCCTACATTTCCTCATCCAGAATGCCATCACTTCCACAATCAGTGCAGAAGAAGCTGAATGCACCTATCACAATAGAAGAGCTGGGCGTGGTACTATCCCAAACCCAAGGAAGGCTCAAGGCCTGGATGGTTTCACCTTCTCCTGCTACAAAACCTTTTGTGACTTGCTAGCCCCCCATCTGTTGACCGCTTGGAATGGAATGAAGGTGCCTCTTGACTCCCTCCAGGCCTATAACTCAGTGATATCCAAGGAAGGCAAAGACCCTGCTCTTTGCGGTAGTTATCGGCCGATAGTTTTGCACAATACTGATCTGAAACTTTTCAGTCATAGCCAATAGGTTAATTCCACATATTCCTCAGTTGATGCACAAGGATCAAGCAGGCTTTGTCCCTCTTAGAGAGCCACGAGACAATACCATATGAGTACTCAATCTAATCCATGGTGTGATCACCAGTAAGCGCCCGCTTGTTCCGCTCTCCACGGATGCAGAAGAAGCATTTGATAGGATCCGGTAGCGATTTATGCAAGCGATTCTAGAACATATTGGCCTCGGCACCCCCATGTGTCGCTGGATTTCTGCTCTCTACTCCTCCCCTTCAGCGGCAGTGAAAGCCAATGAGACCAGGTCTGTCTTCTTCCCCATTTCGAATGGGTGTCCCCTTTCTCCTCTCATCTTTATCTTAGTGCTGGAACCCTTGCTGTGCATACTCCACTCAAATCCTAATATAACCATTTTTTGTAAACCCTTGGGATTCCACAAAGTTGCAGCTTTCGTGGATGACCTGAAATTCTTTGTCACGAATCCGCTTACATCGTTGCTCAATATTTTACGGGCATTACAGACGTACGGCTCTCTGTCCAACTTCAAAGTCAACTTGTCGAAATCTTCTGCCCTTAACATCTCTGCAGATGCAACTACTATGCAAGGTCTTAAACCATCCTTTCCGTTCAGATGGGCTGCAGAAGCCATTAGCTACCTGGGCACAAACATCACCCCTGACCCTTCCAATTGTATGGAGCAATCTCTGAATCACTTCTTTTTAAACTTATGGAAGACCTCTTACATTGACACTCATTAACATTGATGTGGTTTGGTCAATGCACCGCTCTTAAGATGACGTACTCCCCAGAGTCCTCGCTCTTCTGCAAGCCCTTCCGATATGCCTTCCCCCAACATTTTTGCACAGACTCAAGAAGTCTGGGGGTGTCGGCCTTCTGGATATTCAGGCATACTATAAAGCAACTCATCTTACCAGATTGGTAGACTGGCACTGTCGTGGGGGGGCCAAGCACTGGGTTGACATGGAGATGGAGGACTCCAGGGATACTGCCATCAGTTAGCCCTAGCTCTCCTCTCCATTACCCAGGGAACTCGGTGCCCACCCTACCCTAAGCAGCACACTACAGTTCTCAAGGGCAATGTTCTATGCCTTCCTGGTCTCTCCACAGCCCTCCCCTATGATTCCCATCTTGCATAATTCAGAGTTTGGCCCTGGTCTTTGCCATCCCCAATTTTGTCAGCTTAAAGCCTCCGGCTGCACCAATCTGACTGATTTTCTGACTTTGGGGGAGTGCACTAATTTCCATGGAGCTTTCTCGACTTGCTGACCCTCCCTTGAACTTTTGGGGAAGACTTCAGTTGCATTTTTTTCTCCACCGCTGCTCTCTCACTCCAGGCATATCCAGAGCCCTTACAAATTTTGAGTCCATCTGTTATAGGGGGGAATCGATATGCCATTCCCTCTCCAAGATATGTGCATCCCTGATCCACCCTGGAGCCAACTATGTCCCACCTTTTCTGGCCAAATGGGAGGCAGACCTAGACTTACAACTCACGAATCAGCAAACAGAGAAAATTCTCTATTTCTCTCACAAATCCTCTATTGCCTCAAAGGTCAAGGAAACCAGCTACAAAATACTCACCAAGTGGTATAAGGTTTCTGCCATACTCCACCGCATTTCCCATCAGATATCTAGCTCCTGCTGGTGCTGTGGGGTGGGTGATGAATCCATGGTCCACATCTTCTGGCAGTTCAGGGCCCACTAATTCAGCCCTTTTGGCAAGCAGTGCTCTGTGTCATTAAGCAACTCACTGATGTTGACCTAAGCGTTGACCCTACGGCCTGCCTGTTGCACCTGACAGAGAGACCTACTAAAAAATACAAGCACTCTCTTACCATACAACTCTTGAATGCTGCTAAAGCATGCATTCCTCTCCACTGGAGAGATGTTAACCCACCTACGAAAGCTCTATGGTTTACTAACGTCAATGAACTCAGGGACATGGAAGACTTTACGGCCACACTGCACAATATGGAGGAAGTGTTTACTGAAACTTGGAGACCCTGGCACTATTTCATGTACAGAGATGCCTACCTCAGGGAGATGGTTACAACCCAGTGATTCCGCTCCCACACCTCCCAACCTCTTACCCAGAAGAGGGGTACCCCCTTCTCTTTTCTCCCTTTCTTTTCAGGGAGCTCCGGCCTGTTTTTCTTCTTATTTACCCTTCCTCCCTGCTCTTGGAAGCTCCTTCCATACTGTTTTTATGCTTACAACTTGATACATGTTCATTTCCTGCCGTATGTGGGATGACTACTGTAAGAGTCTATGTTTTTCCTCAACCCTGTTACTGTGATCAGTGCTCAATGTAAACTTTTATTTTAAGTTTTCAGCACTCTATTGTTAATTGGAATTAGGTTATTTCAGTATTGTTTAGACCAGGGCTTAAAATTTCAAGTCCTGAGCAACTAGCCAGGCCTTAAGAGTTACTCGCCACCAATTGCCCCACCCAACCCCTACCCTGCTACACCCCTAATTCCACCCCTAAACATGGCCTCGTAAATTATTTCATGAAATGACACTGTTACATGTTACCTACATTACATCAGGGTCCCCAGAGTCCCCCCCACATTACATCAGGGCCTCCATTGTTACCCTAAACACTCCATCATATTCAGACCATGCACCGCATACAACCATAACCCCCCATAATCTTTCACTCACTAAACAATAACTCTACTAAGCATATCCTACCTACTATCCAACCTAGCAGTACCTCAAGTACCCCATACTCTACCACCCATAATAACCACATAATCCTGAATCTAAACCACCCATACATGTAGGTTTACATACACACACACACAAACAGAGACACCTGTACACACACGCAGAAATACACACGTACAGACACATGTACATACACACACAGACACATGTACACACACATACATGTACATACACGCAAACACATGTACAGATACACACATGTACATACACACAGACACATGTACATGCATACACAGACACACGCAAACACACACACAGATACATGTACATACACACACACACACACATACAAATACACACGTACACACACACACACAGCCCTATAAAAAGTTGCAGTACTTCGTTACGTTCACTCACAGAACCGGGTACTGCATTCTAAGGGGAGGCAGAGAGCACAGCACACACTCCTTCCTTTGCTTTCACTTTGCTCAACTATTGAGCAGTCTGATGGCTCCCAGTGCCAGTGACAGATCCGGCCCTGAGTTCCGAGCCTGCTCAGCAAGACGGCCCTGGGGACACACTCGCCTCAACCATAATTTCCACTCACCAATGCGAGCAGGCGAGTGCAAATTTAAAGGCCTGGCTTAGACTATTGATGACATTTTCATGACATGGTTTTTTCCTATTATACGACATTATGTTATGTGTTTTTGAACCCACATCTGTAAATTGTCAAAACTTTGTTAAAATAAAGGAATCACTAAAAAAAAGTTATTCCAGTTATTTTCCAGCCTGAGGAAGGGTGATAAGCACTTTGCCAAAAACTGTTGCATTTTTGGGAACATAATATGCAGTTTTTGCAATGTTTGTAACTGATAACTTGCAGCAATCCCTGTTCAGAACTTTTTAATTATATTTATGACCAGTGGGATGGTCTGCTTTGCACTCTTGGATCCAGAGATTTCCTTGTACAAGCAACAACTCTACAGCTGACATGTAAGCTAGAAAAATTGTCACAGATACTCATCATCATAGAGCTACATGAGGTCACATTGGCCAAATATTACAAGCTTCAGCTAATACCTTGGGGTATTGCATGTACCTACTTTATTTGCACAGAACTCTGATTTTAAAACTAAATTTATTCAGATTATTAATAAATGTTTTTTTGCCTTGATTACATTAATTTTACAATTCATATAACAGAGGATGGCTTTGGCTCAACAGATAGCCAACACTGAAGCTCAGATGTCAAGAGCTATGAAACATGATGAACTAACAAAAGTCAAAAAGGCCTGTGATGATAAAATTATTATGTTTAGGAAAAATATAGAAACAAGAAAAAGATCCAAGTTAAAACAGTATCATGAGGACTATGCTTGATTTAGTCGAGGACTTAATCGTCCAGTGCTTATCTGTTCCTGTCCTAATTTATGATGCTGGCCAGCCCTGGAATGTGCACACACTGGAAGAGACTCACGCTGACACACAAGTTCAGTCTATGAACACTTCTAGTTTATTATAATGAGAAAGTGAACTTATATATGCAAAATGATGCAAGAGTCATGTGAGGACAGCATAAGCATTATATTAGTCTTTGATTGGTCATTTCCACACGAAAACAATCTCCGTCATGGTATAGGTGTGATCTTCTTCCACGCCTTATCTTATAGGAAAACAACATTCCTTTGTTTCAAGTTGGCACGGTGGGAGGGGGGCAGTGTGTGTGAGCAGACATTTCTTAAGCAAGGATTTCTTATAGTACCACAAAGCCCAGCAGGCAGAAAATATTCACACAACATATATATTAAAGTATAAAAGTAAATATTTATAAAACTTATAGAAATAGCGTATATATATATATATATTCAATAGGAAACTAAATAGGCATTTTACCAAATCCATCACATGCTAACAATTGTGTATGTAATTGGACTGATCACAGCTTTTACTGATCAAGACCTTTCAGACGTGCATTTAACAATCAATGATTTTCTACTTCTAGTTCATCTATAGCTTCCTCCACACATGTGTCTGCTACTTTTTTGGATCCAAACTTGACACCCCCACCTCAGGAGGAGGGGAGGCAGGTGCTACAGGAGGAGGAGCCACACGAGGAGCTGTCAGGAGACGGGAAACAGTCAATATGGTATATAATATTTCTTGTGCTGTATAATCTGATGATGAACTTTCTGTTTTGAATAAGGGTTTGGAATTGAAATTTTGCCCTAAGGATAAAACAGATGGTTTCATGTTGAAACAAGACTTGTACTTGTGTTTTTACAGACAAATTAGATTAAAAACTTTTCATTCTACTAGAACTATGTTAAAAGGAGAAGTGCAGTCAAATCTCTTTTGGCTGTACATTTCCTGTAGATCACAGGAGTGCAGTTCATTTTGTACTTCTGTGACCTGTTTTCAGCTGACAGCGGGCTGAAGCCAGTCCAGGCTGGGGAAAGATCCTGACTTTAAAGATCCAGCGATCTGCTGAAAGCCTGAGCCAGCCACTCCTTCCCCTGCCACAACCCAGTGCTTCAGTGAGCACTGGGGGGGTGGGGGGCAGAGCAGAGACTGACAGTCACCGCTCTCTGCTCTCACAGCAGCGGTGAGAACTCAGCAATCAGTGGTCCTTTGATCGCTGAGTTCTCAGATTTAGAGCCGTCTGGGGGATAGATGCAGCATTGAACCGATGCTGCATCCACCTAGGTAAAGTATAATTTGGAAAGAAAGAACAAAACCCAAACTTCTCCTTTAAGCAATGCTAGAATACCACCTTTGTCTGTAAAAAATCTAAAACTCAGAACTAAAAGTTGCACCTCACCTCCCATTACGTATCCTGCTGTTACATTATATATTAAAAAAGTGAAAGCAGATGTTATAGCTCTTTTGAAGGATGATACAAAGGTAGACCATATCCATAATAATACACCAAAAAAAAAAAGAATCTGTTGCCTTGTCCTCCCTGTCAGTCAGGAGCGATATCACAATTAAACAGTCTAACAAATGGTAATGGATACCTCTATATACTGTATAAGGAAGACATTTACAGACAATTGTCTCATAGGAAAACATATCTACAGTACCTTTGGATAATAAACATTTCGGGTTCAGACTACGATAAACACTTTACTTATACACACTATGTGGGAAGGTTTAATTGATGAGGTGGCTAAGAAGTTTGTGTCTTCAAAATGTCATATCACTCTGGTAATGTATATGCTACCAAAAATAATTAAGGATTCTATTAATCAGTCTGGGCACCCTATAGTGGCAGGAATTAATTCAGTAACAGCTACACTTGCTAAGTATCTTGACAGATGTGTAACCCTGCTGATTGTTTAATACTAACTCTTATATATACGAGATACAGCACGTTTTAAATAAAATTAGTGATATAAAAGCGGACCCTGGATGTCTCTTTGGATGTCTGTAGTTTATATACGATCATTCCAAATGATCTGGGAATAGAGGCATGCCACCATATATTAGAGATTGTTTTGGAAGAAAATTTTTTTATTTACAAAATATAGGCTCAGCTATGGGCTCTAATGTTGCCCCCCCCCCCCCCCCCATGCAAATGCATTCATGAATGATTGAAAACTTGTTTATTAATAATAATAATAATTTCTTTCAACAGAAATTCCTTTGTTGGCCAATATTTATTGATGACGTGTTTGCCATATGGGGGGGGGGTGACTATAAAACTTCAATTTTGTTACATGAGTATTTTATATTCCTTTTAGATACATATGAGAATCCAGGATAGACAGATAGTGAGTGATCTGTATAGTATGTGAAATCCACAGATAACCAATTATTACATTATAAAAGTGTTCATCCACCTGGGGAATTTAAATCAATTTTTAAATGCCAGTTGTCGCAAGAGGCCAGAATTATAACAGATTTGACTGATCGTGAGAATAGACTTGGTGAAATGGAATACAAATTGATCCAAAGAGGTACCTTTCACACATAGTGAGAAAAGAAACAGTCAGTTTATTCCATTAACTTATTTTCACCCTGAGGGCTAGAAGGATACAATTTGTTTCACAAGTCCATCCCTTTTCTTTTCGGATTTGTAAGATTTTAAAGAAACATTGCTCTATTTTCCATGAAAATTATCCTTCCATCCCTGAATTTAGCTCTCCCCCTTTACCGTCTCATAGAAGAGGTAGAACGTTGCGGGACCGCTTGGTTAAATCAGACCAATTTAATCCTCCAAAGCCTGCTGTCACCTTTTTAGGACCATGCAATACAGGCTCCTATCCCTGCTTGAATTGCATTCAATGCAGTTGCATGATAAAGGGTCAGATGTTTTCTCACCCACATACAGTAACCAATATTAAGATTCAGGAATATTTTACTTGTCAATTGTCATTTGTTATATATGCTATTAAATTTCCTTGCGGTTTACTCTATGTGGGTGAGACTATTCAGAAGACTAAAGATAATATTGCCCAACACAAATATTCCATCAGAGACTAAATAGTACAATTACCTTTAGCCAGGCATTTTGTAGAGAAGGGACACAAGGTTTCATAGCTAAAATTTATGGTTATAGATGGTATAAAAAAAAAAAAGGCGAAGGGGAGATTGTGAATTGATGCTAAAATGATTGAAAGTACAATGGATACATTGAGATATTTTAATACCCAGAGGATTTAGATTTGCATTTATTTTTATAAACGGAGCACTGGATGTGAAACTTTGATGTCATTGGAGTATATGATATGAGAGAGAATATGAAGGGGTTAATTAGTACTGGCTAATTTCATGGTTTCCAAGTGTGTAAATATATATATATATATATATATATATATATATATATATATATATACACACACACACACATATACACACACACATATATATATATATATATATATATATATATATATATATACACACACACATACAGTGCTCAGCATAAAGGAGTACACCCCGACAACAGATCTGTCATGAAAGCTTTACTTTCCTTTCAGAATCAGCGTTTTCTATGAGACAGTATACTACAAAAAACTCCCACAAATGCAGGCCATTGTTTACAAACAAAATTTGTTAAATTGCACAAATTCATTCAAGGCCATGTTGCAAAAATGAATACACCCCAATAAAAGTCTTACAAGCTACATTTTAGGGTCCTTTCACACGGGTATTCCGTATGTCCGTTTATGGATGAAAAACGGACACCCATGTAAGTAAATTATCATCTGTTTACACCCATTAACGTCCGCATCCATTTTTTAAATGGAAGAAATTACTATTTGTCTTTCGTAAAAAAAAAAATGGAACGGATGAAAAATGGATGTAAACTGACATACATTCCGTTTTTGCATTGGTAAAGGATGTAAAAAACTGATGTAAAAACTGATGAGAAACAGTTTTGAAAAAACATAACTGAACTGATGAAAAAAGGGACCCCTGTGTGACAACAAAATCCTAATTAACAAGAATTCAACTACCGGTGAGTCTAATTATTCATTAAACAGGTGTCCAGCAGACAGCTGATTATAAAAGGATATTAAATAACCACTTTCAGTCCGGACACT